AGTGCTGGCCACAGAGTAGGCTAGTTCCTTTTCAGACATTAAATTCAATCTGCCCAGTAATTCCATATAAGAGTCACTAAAATAGGCTCTCTCTCTCTCTCTCTCTCTCTCTCTCTCTCTCTCTCTCTCTCTCTCTCTCACACACACACACACACACACACACACACACACACACACACTCACACACTAGAAACTAAATGAATCTCTGACCTCCCAACGGCTTAGAACTCTCTCCCGTCTTCAACTCTCCTGATGCAGATAATAAAAAGTACCTACCAGGATTTGCCATCCACTTTAACCTTACACCTTCAGCACAATAAAGGAGAGAGAATGCTTTTATGTACACTACTGCTACAGACCCCTGAATCAGAACGTCTGGGGAGCACCACTTAGGAACTCACCTTTTAACAAAGTCTCTATACACACTTTTCAGCTGGCCAAGCCTCAGGCTAGGAAGGGGTTGCTTTCTTGAGTTTCCTTTCCATTTCCAAGCCAGACTCCTCTTTCTAGAGGTTCAAAAACCTAGATTCTGAATTGATCCCAGCACTAGCTCATAGCACCACTAAACACATTATTCAGCTTTTCTGATTGTCAGTTTCTTAAACTGCAAATTGGAAATAACACCTATTCAACAAACAAGGCCTCAGATAAACCAATGCTAAAGAAACAATCTTTTGATGAAAGTGCCCGGTAAACATTGATGATTCTAATGCTGGTTTTCCACAGTCACTCTGTTATTCTCTCTCTACAGGCATATGGAGCCTAAGGGGACAGCTTCCCATTTTACTGAATAGGCTGGTCCACAATCAGTTGCTGTAGTGCTGACGTCGCTGGGGACAGGGGCTGGGAGGACACAGGCAGAAAGCTGCTCTTCATGGAGACTGGCACTCTCTCTTGTCACCCTGCCTTCCAACCCACCTCTCAGTGAGCTTTTCTTGGCTCCCCACAGCTGTTGACATCACTGATGTTACAGGTAAACAACTTCCCAGAGGCCAGCCCTGTACTGGTTGGGCCCAGGCAATGACAGGTAAATTGGGCAGCAGTAATGTTGTTTGGGGTGTTGGTGTGAGCTGCGGTGTGTCCTGATTAGATGGAAAAAATAGAGTTCATTGTGTTTGTGAGGCAGAAAGAGCGAGAATCCAGAGAAGTTTGGCCATGCACATAATCCATGGCCCACTCCAGGCCTGACCTCTGACCCTCAGTCAAGGCCTCAGGTACCATGGTATGTTGTGCATGGTGCAAACCTTCCATGTTTGCCCTGAGCCTGCTCCATGACCCGGCTTTGTTTTCCTGTCCATCTCTTCCTCTGTCCTCATTCCTCCTTGGAGTGTGAAGGACAAAATTCTGCCTTTAAACCAGGAGACCTGGATTTTAATCCCACTTTTCCTGCCAGCTAGCTCTGTAACTTGAGTGATCATTTAGCATTCCTTTGGCCCAATTTTCTTACTAAATGGAAAACAATTAAATGGGCAGCAAGCACACAATGGAGGGAATTGAGCCCCATCACTTCTAAGTTCCCTGCCTATCCATATTGCATGGCAGTGCTGGCCTGGAGGCCCCATGCCAGCATCCTACCTTGGTTTGCTTCCTTGAAACAAAACCATACATTCTACAACCTGCTCTTCTCACAGCCTTCTCATCCCTCCGCTCCCATCTACCCTCCTTCCTAGCATTCTTACCTTCCCAAATCCTTAGAGTGAATCTCCCCTCCAAAATGAGATACTAATAACATGCACCCACTCCTAAAAAATGTAACTTTTCCCTAATTTGCAGGAGTAAGCATAACACATGGAGTCAAACAAACCCAAATTATAATCTTGGCTTTGCTAAATTAACATGTGTTTTTTTGAGCAAGGTATTAGATATGTTCAACTTCTAGTATTATCAGATCCATTTCCACCTGCAAGGGATTTACTAATTCCACTTTGTCAAGCTGTGAGGAGGATTAAATAAACACAGTTCCTATAAAGCACAGTGCCTGGCACATATGTGAGCTCAACAACTGTGGTTGCCTTCCTTTTCCATCTGGGTCATACTGGTGCTTGTTTATAACCAACCACACCCTGAAAATTGTGCCTTTCCTTCAAGGCAGTGACTAGTCCTAGGAGTCAATGGGTAGGGCTGCACATTGTCCACCTCCAAGGATGTCATTCAACAGAATGTACCACCAAGGCTCCAATGGAGATCCCATCAGTGGTGTTGAGATTGAGATGTCCACATCTACCTTTCCCACCTTCCAGTCACTTCCTGATGTCTCACTTTGTTTCCAACCTTGGACAGGTGAGTCATCTTCCATATCTTCCATCCTTATTCGACCTATACAGTCTGTTCAGTGTCATTCCCTGAGGTCTAGTTCTGACTGGTCCCTTTCAATATCTTCCTAGTACATCTAGCACATATGTGCTTAAACTCAGAGTCCCCAGACTATATTTAAAGTTCTGCATAATCTTCCCTAAGTTCATCTCTTTATATCTCACTCTGCTCTGGCCAACCCTGGCTTCTGTTCCTCCAGATTTCCTAATTCCATGGTTTTCTCTTGCTGTTCCCTCAATGTGGGAAGCCACACTGCCCATTTCTGCCCATCACAAGCCTGTCCTCTCTTCAAAGCTGATCAAAATCTTTCTAGGTAACTCTTGCTTTGAAATCACTATAGATCTTGGCCTTTAATTTTTCTCTTTTTTTTCCATTTGTATTTAGGTCATATATGATCTTGTCTTTGCAAATAAATTGATATTAAATTAATCTAGACAATATTTATATAGGTCAACAATGTAGATGATGATGATGATGATGATGATGATGATGATGACGACAACAACAAGCTATTTTAAAGTGTTCTCTATCTGTTCAATCCTGTGCTAACTGCTTTATTTGCATTAATTTATTTAATATTCCCAAAACTTCCCCCAAATAGCATTGCTATCTCTTCATAAAAGAAAGAATGGAGAGAATGGAAAGAATGTTTAATTATGAAGTTAAGCAATTTACCCAGATAACACAGTTCAGGAAACTTCATAAGGTTCCATGTTTTCATTTATGAAGAGATGGCAATGCTATTTGAGGGAAGTTTTAGGAATATTAAGTCAATCAATGCATATAAAGCAGTTAGCACAGGATTGAACAGATAGAGAACACTTTAAAATAGCTTGTTGTTATCATTATCATCATCATCATCATTGCTTTTTAAAAATTCTGACAGGTGGTTTGACATTTTTTTTTAACAACAACAACAACAAAAATCCCACTCAAACACCTATAATGTATAAACTTCCACAAATTGGGGAAGGACTTGATTCAAGTTGCACACCTTCTTTTTAAGAACGTGTGAATTCCGTGGGGGTGAGGTGCAAAAACTGGCGTATGAAAAAGAAATTAAAAATAGGTCTTTAGGAAATAAAATCCTGTGTCTTTTGGCATTGCTCAAATGTAGACAACGCATCTTCAGTATTTGGAACCAGTGGCCAGATTGGAAGCTATGGCACCTAAGTCAGTTTCCCTGAGAGCCACCCACACCTGCAAACGCTGTTTTCTAAAGGCATGCGCTCAGAGTTTTCCTAACTCTGTTAGACATCATCAAATAATTATAGAGAAGCTAGTCAAATGCAGGATTTTACAATTGTAGGAATTAGGAACAGAAAGGGACCTTGGAAATTATCTAGTTCAAACTCCCAATTTTGCAGATGAAAATTCTTAAGGCCCAGAAAGGACTTCATATTGCCACCAAAGGAGAATTTCATGACACTTTTTGGTGTTAACATAGGATTTCTGAGTGGACAGCTGTGGGACAACCTCAGGAGGAAAATGGCAGAGTCTCCTTTGTGGGCCCCTTCACTTTCGGAATATTAAGTCAATCAATGCATATAAAGGAATATTAAGAGATGTAATGTGTTGTTGGGGAGATAAAGGTTATTTTACTGACTGACTCAGAGGTAAGTTGATTACCTTTGCAAGACACTAGGAAACATTAACAGTGATCTTTTCCTCTAGACCTCATCCAGAACGCTGAAATACATGGACATAAGACTAAACAACACCTTTGAGTTTCACATCAACACCCTTCTCAGATATACGCTTTGCAACAGAGGTCTTAAAAAGAGGTCTTTCTAGTTCTTCTGAGACTAAGCTCCATTCTAGAATGCTTATAGCACAAGCATCACAGGCATGTTAAGAAATATCTGCAAAGATTTCACATAATCCTAGAGAGAAGAAAGTTGGTTATATAGAGAGGGTCTCATTTCTGCTTTTAACATTCTCTCGTTACCCATTTCTCTTTCCCTTTTTAGTGATACAACTCTGCTATTCCAGTTATAAAAGCCAGAGGCCAGTGGGAAGTTCTCAAAGAGAGCAGGCACTGAAGATGGGTTTTTTTTTTGTTTGTTTGTTTGTTTGTTTGTTTTTTTTAATACACTTCTATTGATTTCAGAGATGAAGGGAGAGGGAGAGAGAGAAAAAAAAAATCAATGATGAGAGAAAATCACTGATTGGCTCCTCCTACATGCCCCTCCTAGTGATGGAGCCCAAGACCTAAGCATGTGCCCTAGATGGGAATCAAACCTGGGACCTTTCAGTCCCCAGGCTGACACTCTATCCACTGAGCCAAACTGGCTATGGCTGATGACAATTTTCAAAATTATTTCATGGGCTGCTAATAAGTGTGGTCTAAAAAAAAAAAATCATGTGCTTAGAAAACATTGAATTAGTTAACTTTAAATAAGACTCACCACTAAGTTAGTGCCTTTTATATGTTAATGTGAAATGTGAATCTCTTGGAAGAGCTGTGTAAATATAATATATAAAAACATTTTCCACACTTTCCTAACTAATTTGACTTTTCCTCCACAAGTCCTACTAGAGTGTAAGTTTTAAGCCACTCAATTTGTGGTACTTAGTTATGGTTGCCGTAGGACATTAATATACCGAGATGTGAATTTTAGCTCTGTCACTTAGTAGCTCTATGAATTATTTAAACATTCTCCCCCTGATACTTTAAGGACACTTACCTTTCTGTGATTGTTTCTCTGAGGCCACTGGCCACCCCTTTGACCACAGTGCTAGCTTTGGGCGTCAGCACCACCTGAGATATAAAAAACGAGCCCTTCTTTCTTCTCTCGGTGATGGACGCCTGAAGGAACTGAATCAGTTTTTCCGGGTCTGTGGTGTTGGCCCAGGGTGCTGGCATCATCTGCCCAGGCCAGAGGAAGGGCACCTCCAGAGCCACAGGGCTGTGGTAGAAGACCAGCACCTGGTGGTCCTTCTCCCACAGGTACTTTAGAGTCACTTCCTGCGCAAAGATCGCTGGGCACATTTTATTTCCGTAGATGTCTTTCAGCATTTGGACCAATTTTTCATGGTGATATTTCTGCATTCCATAAAAATGATTGAAGTCCAAGAATACCACCTCCTTACGGTGATCTGTGAGGAATGCATTGATCTCCTCAAGGCCCTCATTGACTTTGGCACTGAACAAACCATGAGCAAAGTAGAGTTCATTGTCGGGATCTCTGGGCTTGGTGGAAATTCGAAGATCAAAATAACGGATCCCAGCTCCTAGCTGACCAGTAAAGTTCATCGTTTGAGTGGCTAACCATTTCCGCATCAGCTTTTTGGCCACAGTTCCAAAAACAGAGACAAAATTCTGGACAGTTTCTGGCTGTTCAGGCCCTACTGGAGAGGCTTCGTCAATGTAGAAGCTGAAAGAATCGTGAGATCCTAGAAGAACAACAAGGCACAGTATGGTTACATTTCAGTCCTTCGTCCTCCCCAATCTCGTTCCCTCTTGCAATGTCTATATTTCTCCCTCAAATGAGTCAAAGGAAGCCCTAAGCAATATTTACCAAGTTCATTCCCATGCCTCAGGGAGGTTTTTCATAGCCTAGTATCATAACAGGGCAAATTGGTTGTGAAGTGATAACAAAATTCCTTCTGATCAACATTTTAAAATTCAAATAATCATCTTCTACTTCTGTCAACAAATAATTTAATGTACTCATTAGGATTGGTTTTCCATATACTGACCGTTCAAAATAGGATTTATGGGTACCTGTCAGTTCCTAAATACTTGGTCTATAATGTTGCCCCTGTTCTTCATTTTGGGTTGATGTGAAGCCTAGAAGACTTGTTTCAACGAATAAAGAAACTCTACTTATTTCAATGAATAAAGAAGCCCTTTCCACCAACAGATGGTCAGAGTAAGAACGGCAACCTCATACCCTTTGGAAAACACAGAGGTCAGAGGGTAGAAGAAAGGAGAAATAAGGCAAGAGGACAGTCCATGCTGATATGTTTAACATCATTTCTGACCCTGGATTTGGGAAACTGTCATCGTAGATTAGGTTGCAAGTTACCACAACTAAGCATATTAAAAAAAAATTAGCTAGAAGGCCATTTCCTTCAGATACTTCCTCTTAATAACAAAGTCTCTTTTGGGAGTTGGCTTCCCAATTTAAAATAATTTCTTCCTAGAAAGAACAAGGACAACCTATTTCATTATTTCTGGCAGAAATAAATAACTCCAGATATGTAGCAACTACTGTATGATTTACATGTAAGTACAGATAGCCACTTAAAATATTATTGGACCCCATAGAGAAAAATTATTTCCAGTCATAATTTTATTATTAAAGCCTCCTTTAATTCCTGGGCGTGACCTACTAACTAGGTAAAATTAATATATCCTGGATTTTTCACACATTAGCAGACGTCATCATTCCCCACCTGTTAATTATGCTTTATACCTTGTGGCCCACTCCTGATATATTCCTTAAGGGACACCTTCTTCTAGGTCATTACTCCTACCACCCAAACACACATATACACACATATCCACACACATGCATACTCATGGCCCTCTAAATTGGTCAGCTATTACCTTTTGGCTTTTGTCTGATAAGCTATTTGAAGTGATTTTTTTCAATGATGCAATATTTACCTTTGATTTTATTCCATATCTATGTTAATTTATATCTACATCTATGTATGTATATATTTATGTCTAGCATTAAATGGTTCATAGAAATCATAAGAATATGAATTTCAGGCACCATGTAGGTTGTTAGAGAAAATATTTTGAAAACTACTTTGATGCCTTGCCAATCATAACCTTTAAGATTTGGAACAGATAACTCCTTAGAATTATAAGATTTCCCCCCCCCAAATAGTTAAAGGTAACTCCCAAATACAGAAATGTCATGTTTAATTTAATCTGGAACTGCCTGATATAGTTATCTTTAATACATGGTATGGGGAGAAAATGTCAGGACTTTCTAAATATGCAGAACTGACAGTTTGGATTTGGCATTGGCAAATTTTAATAGGGATTGAAAGTGCTATATATTAACATTTGCTATACAGTTAATTGCTAATATAAATTGAGAAACTAAATAACCTGTACTATCACTGAAAATAAAAGAGAATCTGTGTAAAGAAAGGAATACAAAGGTGAGGTTAAGGAGTGTTATAATTAAATCATCTAGGTATAAATAAATAAGTGAACACTCAATATAAGTGCTAATTTTAAAAAATTTAAATTTAATTTCCAGGTATGTGAAAAACGGTGGATATGAGTAATTGGTTACTTCTGTAATCTAATAGAAGGCTTCACTGGAAGCAAGTAGAAATGGAATTATATATAACTAGATTTCTTTTTCCAGAAACGAGTGGGGTTTTGTTTCAATATGACTTTAATTTCAACATTCTATCATATGGTTATAGGCCAATTTTTTCAAAGCCTAGGAAATTCATCACTTTTGAAAATCCTATAGAGGGATATTATATAATAGTTTCTAATTAAATTACCTGTTGACATTTAAGAAAAATATGTTATTAAAGTGAAAATAAGGTAGTGTCAAAATAAAAATTAAAAATAACTAATGGTCAGCAGAAGACATTGGTACCCCCATCAATATTTGTTCTAAGCTAGATGACTCTGAAGTGCATGTACAGCATTTGGGGCAGGATTATGTACCCAGATACAAACAGTATTTGGAGAGGAAAATTAAATCATCAATCAATACAAAACACTATGCATTTTAGGACAAAATGCATATCTAATGTTGGCCCCCAAAGTAGTATTTTCAAAGCTTTTAATTTCATTTGGAATAGTACTTCCTCCCTAATTTTATCATTTTTACTAAACCATTACATTTTCTATTTGAACTTAAACCAAAAATACATCAGTACTTTATGATCTTTCAGTAACAGAGAGAAAAAGTCTGGCCCAGCCCTGTGTCCTTAAAACCACAGAGCCCTGACCACCAGCAAGACAGTGCTAAGCATCATTTTTACTGTTCTTAGCTATATCCACAACCTCTCTGATTATCTGGCCTAATATTTTGCTTTTACACTGGTTGAATATTACTGGGCTTCTGACCTCTTATCCTTCTCTTGTCCATAGCCTCAAAGGCATACCTTGGACCTGCTACTTAATGTTGTTCCTTTGATTCTGAACTGAGCCTCTCAACTTGGAGCTTGATTTGCACCTCTACTCAGAATAGAGCTGACCACTCCCATTGTGAACCCAGCCCAATCAAGTTCATTTGTTTTGGCTCTGAATGATCGAACGGAATGGAGAAGGTTCTTTTCTTTCATTTCTTAGAAACAGGCACTTTTATTAGTTTATTCTCAGTATGCTAGATTTTTCCCTCACTGAGGCAATAGGAACACATCCAAGATGGACCCCAACAATCCTGCCTCCTGGCATTCACATCCCTTCTGGAGTGTGAGCCCAATCTAATGGCTTGCTTCTAATGAATTAGATGACACCAACACAATGGGACACCATTTCTGAGATTAAATAAGAAATGATTGTGACCTCCACCTTGCTACTCTCTGCATTGCTGTTTGGTTTGTTTGTTTTTGTTTTGTTTTGTTTTGTTTTGTTTTGTTTTTGTGGGAGAGGGAAATCAAAGAGAAATATCGATGTGAGAGAAACATATCACATCGATTGGTTGCCTTCTGCATGTACCCAGATCAGATTCCAGGCTGGGGAGAAGCCTGCAACCAAGGTACGTCGTACCCTTAAACTGAATCCAACCTGGGATTCTTTGGTCCACAGGCTTATGCTCTATCCACTGAGCCAAACGGGCTAAGGCTGCCTTGCTGGCTTTGACAAAGCGAAGTGCCATGTTGGTGAGGCCCATGTAGTAAAGAACTTAAATTAAACCAGCAAGCTAGAAACTGAGGCCTTTAGTCCAACAGGCCCATTCCAGACCACACTGAAAATACATGAAATCCACTCTTGGTTTCTAACTGTCATGAAGGAGAGAAAATACCCAAATTATGGAAACAGTATTAAATCTCAAATCATTTTTTAAAAGACTTGGGAAACATTTTATTTACTTTTCCACATTACCAATCACTATTATGAGTACCTAAATCTTATATCTCCTTGGGAAAGCATAGCATAATCGAGTGTCTATTACATCCTAGGTCAATCTTAGATCACAGCATTGAGAGCTACTGGCTTTGGTCCCACAGTTGTCTTTGAAATGACCTATCAAATCACTTTTATTTGGTTTGGAAGTCAATCAGTTCTTTCTAATTATAAACACATAGTGTTGAATCTGTAATTACTTAGTTCTTATGTGACAATATACAATTAATCTCATTAATTTTTGTTTACCCCACTGACTTAACTGATCAGCCATTTGGATTTTTTTTTTTTTGAGACAAAGACCAAACCTTATTCCTGGTACATAATCTTGCCTCAGTCTCCAGGTTATGACCAGGTCTTTGTGGACAATATATTTTGTATTACTTTCAGGTGTACCACACAGTGTATAGATAATCATATAGGTTACAAGGTGCTCCCTTCAACATATCCAGTACCCACCTGGCAACACATATAGTTATTACAATATTATTGACTATACTAGAGGCCTGGTGCACAAAATTTGTGCACTGAAAAGGTGGGGGGGGTCCCCTCAGCCCAGCCTGCACCCTCTTGAAATCCGGGACTCGTGGGGGAATGTCCGACTGCCGGTTTAGGCTTGATCCCACTGAAGATCAGGCCTAAACCAGCAGTGGGACATCCCTCTTGCAATCCAGGACCGCTGGCCCCTAAGTGCTTGCCTGCTTGCCTGATTGCTCCTAACCATCTCTGCCTGCCTGATAATCTCTAACCACTCTGCCTACTTCCCTAATCACCCTTGTTTGTCTGCCTGACTTATTGCCCCTAACCACTCACTAGGGGGCAGCTGACCGGGGTGAGGGGTTATGTCATTCTAGTCATTCCACTATTTTGATCACTGGGCTTTTATTATATAAGATTGCCTATGCTGACTTTACATCCCTATGACTGTTTTGTAACTGCCAATTTGTACTTCTTAATTCCTTCACCTTTTCCATCCAGCCCCCCAGCCTCCTTTCCCTTTGGCATCCATCAATCTGTTCTTTGTATTATGTATCTGTTTCTATTTAGACTGTTCATTTATTCTTTAGATTTCACATGTAAGTAAAAATCATATGATATTTATGGTTCTGATATATTTTATTATTTTTTAAATGTCACCTCCTTCCCCTGATTTCTCCACTAGAACCTCTCTGTAGGGGCAGCATGAAAGCTTGGGGCAGCCTTGAATATCTGTAAGTACAGGAGCAGCTCTGATTCTCTGGGCAGACCGAATGAATGGCCTGGGGAAGAGAAGGAGCAGATTAGATAAAACCAAATCCATATTACTAAAACCAACTATTCTGGAAGGAAAAAAGAAAAC